AAAGTAACTAATATTCTTTTGATTTCATGCAAGGTTTGAATTAAAGAATGACACGCGTTCAAGATTGGAAAGTGATGAATCCATATTCATATATTGGAAGTCGGTAATCACTATTTTGTCTTCTCAAATCAGATTTCGATAAATCGAATAATATTTCGATTTCACGGTATTTTCTTGATTAATATAATATGCACATTATCGGTGTAATATCTCATACAAACTTGACTCATTTAGTTGTCTATTCAAAGTATTACAGTTCTTTCAAACTCTCTTGTTCGCTTGTAGAAATTAATTTCTCGAGCTGCCGACTCATGAATATTTTTGTTATTTATTAGCCAAAAGAACTAAATGTTCGCTTAAAATTTGGAAGTATATTCCCAAACAAATATCTTAGATATGACAATGTACTAAATTTGGATACCCAATAATTGAACAAAATCATGCCACGCCAGGGTTGTACCAATCATTCATAATATTTTCTTTTTCTTTTTTTAATAACTTTATTTGTCTCTATTTGATTGGCTAACTTCTCCGTCTTGACCGCGAATAAGCTGGAAAGAATTTCAATTTCAATTGGCTCTCGTCCCATAAACTTTTAATTTTGTTTCTTGTTATGAAAAGTGAATAACTTTAAGTTCATAATCAATAAAGTACTATAATTATTTTTTTTATCGCTTTTTCTACAATTACTCGAGGATTGAATGGTTGTACAATTGCCTTTGTTTTTTGAAAATTGTGGACGAAAAAATTGTTTTTCTTTTTTTAAACTATCCAAACATGTTTTGTCTCGTGGCAAAGGAAAGGTGACGTAAAAGACGATATATATGTAACATGATTGTTTCTCGTTTGGATCAAATACATGAATGATGCAATAAATAATGATATTCATAAAAGTGTTATGCTACATGTACTATATGGATTACACTTCTGTTTACTAGGGCCCACTCCCTCCCTCACATGGGGGTCAAGTCCTACGCATTTATTGGACATGGGACCCGACTCCCATGTGAGAGAGAGGGTAGATTCAGGTAAACAAGAGTGTAATTTATAGGATACAAATAAGGAAAATGCTACTTGTACATTAGGGGTTACATAAGGGTGTCCATAATGGACACCCGGCACCTCCCAATTGGATGAAGTGTCGACCCCACCTGCACTTCATCCAATGGGAAGGTGTCGAGTGTCCATTATAAACACCCTTATGTACACCCCGATGTACTTGTAGCACCTCCCTACAAATAATATAGTTCTTCATTAAAATAGACAAGATAGAAATATAAATGATGTCACGGAAAAGTACCTTTCGGCCCTGTAACATGTGACTCGACATGCACTTTGAGTGGACCAATGAAAACAGCACTGGACCAATAAATCTGGGTTCAGATTTTTTTCTAATAAAATATCATATTTGCATCCCATTTTTCAAAAGGCCCCAAAATAGAAATCTAATGTCTCTGTCTTTGCATCATCATTACCAATAAAATATACTGCAATCTTAAAATAAAAACGATTCCTATCAAATTAGACATCACGCAATCACCTGCAAAGCTCCTCTTTTGGAGGTATTGGGCGAAGTGGATTCACATTCTGTATATCATTTTAAATTTTTTTAGTTAGATTTTCTATATTCTATTAGATAAAATAAATCACGGTCGATGAAGTTAAGTGTA